TCTGTCACCCTGACACGTTGACGCACCCGCAGAATTCGGAAATTGGAGGGCATGTACACCTGTATGATATATTTTTATCGAAACCCCTAACAAATTACTCTCCCGAACTTCAGTTTGATTCGTGTTATCTATCTCACTTTCAATTTGATTTAGTATAGTTTTGACAATTCTCATAAACCTATAAGTATACCAGTTGCTTCAAAATAGTCATTACGATATTTTGCAGTTTAATTTCGTAATCAATATTTAACCAATGATGGAAGCTCAAGTCTGATGATTTAATTTCTGATTCTGATATGATCTTATTCAACGCCAGCAATAGGAAAATAACATACTCTTACATTGATATAAAACATTTAGTCTACGGTCGAATTTTAGTCAAGGTCAACCCGGTCATAAATAAAGTGTCCATCTCAATAAATGAACAATGTATTAATTAGAACTCATCTGCTAAATGGCCGTAATTTTTATTGAGCAGTTTAAATTGAATCAAGGACCAAGTTACTCGTCTAATTAATTGGTTGGAATCACGAAAGGTTCCTTTGTACTTCTGTATTGACTGTTGCGGAATAGATGACACAAAAGGGCAATAAGAAGAAACGCCCCGCCCAGACAGCAGTGCTATTCTGGTTCCGAGGTGAAAGGTAAGTTTGTTTACAGAAATCAGAAATCAATTTATCTTTATTCAAATTGGATGTATACTCATTTGAATCGTCCAAAAATTTTTTTTCCCTACCACTCGTTATAGACATATTTTTTAGCTGCGGAGAAAGACGAGCGAAAAAAACTCCACAACATCAAAAGTCTAATGTAACAACATTTACAAATCATTATGTTGTTACAACGTCAATACAGTTATGATTTATTTAATATAGAAAACCCGTTGGAATGATTGGAACAGTTCAAACCCAAGCATTTTTGTCTGTAATATAATCAGACACTTTGTAATAAGCTTTTTAATAAGTTTTTTTTACAGTTACACAGTTAAGAAACGTACAGTCCTTTACTCGTGTGATAGCACGGCAGATTTGAGACAAGTGTCATTCGAAGAGTCTAGTAGGATAATTTCTACTATAGCGACATACTTCAAATATATAGGTTTAGTGATTATATATTGACGACCTCCGTGGCCCAGAGGTCCCGGGTTCGAATCCCAGTGGTGGCAGATGTTTGTGTGATGAATACGAGCATTTGTACTCCAGCCATGGATGTTCAATATGTATTTCTATATAAATATACTTACATATGTACAATATATGCATTCTATCCGTTACCCTAGTATCCCATAATACAAGCCTTACAGTGCTTACTTTTGGGGCTAGGCTAATTGGTGTGAGTGTTGAAAATATTTATTTTTATTTATTTTATTTAAATTGAATCAAGGACCAAGTTACTCGTCTAATTAATAGGTTGGAATCACGGAAGGTTCTTCTAAGTTTGTTCACATTAAAGAAACGTACAGTCTGTATCTCTTTGTATTTGTATTATCTTCACGTGACAGCAGGTTTGAGACAAGTGCCAAGCGTCTCTTAAGATAATTTCTTACTATGGCGACATACTTCAAATATATATAGGTTTAGGATTTATATATTACTAGCTGTGCACCACGGTGATACCCGCGGTTTATTAGGGATATTTTCCCGCAATAATATGTAGCCTCTGTGTTAATCCAGCGTGTCAGCTAACTCCATACCAAATTTTATCAAAATCGCTCCAGCCGTTTGGAAGTGAAGAAGTAACAAACATACACACTCACAAACTTTCGCCTTTATAATATTAGTGTGATACAATATTTTATTTCATTCTATTTCTATATTTTACATATTAACTTAGTGTGCATAAAAAGTAATGGAATACGAACCTTTGTATTGTTTTCATACAAGATGGGATTTATTTTACTAAAATTATTACAAAGTCTACCTCATCCTCACCACGCAATAAAGATAGTAAACGCTAATATTCAACACACCCAATCTTTTGCATGATGACGTGCATTTAAAACCCAGAATAGGCAGAGACTGACAATGGCATACAAGCAAATATTCCTGAATTCGAAGACTTAAAATTTATAATATTGCACTAGCATAGAAATATTTTCCTAAAACGTGAGCATAGTGTGTATTTGTTTCTATCAATTCTTTCAACTCTTCATGCAGTGCAATCAATAAATAATTCAGGTCAGTAGTGAAAGGCAATTATATCAATCGTTTGTCATTTCTCAGAAGTAATATTACTTGTCAACCCTTAGTTCCTCCCCATACGGCCTGCGCAGACAAGGGACTTTTGTCCTCCACGGACTGACGTGTAAAAAATGTCTCAACACAGACACAGACTCAACACACAGTGCGCGACTATTTGTTGCCCGAAAATTTAGTGAAAGGCCAATGCCCAAAATAGGCTAGGTGTGGACAAGGTGCTTGGCAAACAACAATTTTACAATATTATTTTATTTAATTTTTTAATAATTTCTATAAGCGTAATATAGTAGAGAGTTTCATTATACGATCACTTCCTTCTTTTATTACCTTATGTCAATTGATCGAATATGAATGTGATTGGCCAAATTTATGTTAGCATCACGTCATGTCAGTGAAAACTGCTATGATTGGCCGAATTTAAGTTAGCATCGCGTTATTTCTGTGAAAACGGCTAGGATTGGTCAGGTCTAAGATGACATTTGCAGACAAGGACTGCATTCCAAACCTATGATCCAGGTGCAACAAACGTCAAATTTGTCAAAATTTAAACGTCAGAGTAAAAATTTGCACTTAGAGCGTAGATTTAGAACGAACTCAAGCTGTCCATAGGAACATTACGTTCAGAGATTTGGTAATATGCATGTGACGTCGCACGCCATATTGCGCAAATATGTTTTTTCGCGGCATATTTAAAGAATAGATATTTATTTTCGATTAATTGTGTAACAGAAAATTAATCTACCCAGTGTCTAGACATCGTATTGGTAATATATGACTTCGAATATTATAGATCGTTGCGAAAATGGCTTATTTATGCTTATATTACTTTTTTCTTCGCGGTAATAAAAATTGAATTTAAAGTATAGTATACTGATACAAAATTATAATGATTCAAAGGTTTCGGGTAGTTTTAGCTTCTTACATTGTATAGTTTTACTTGTTATAATGTCTGTCCATGTTAAGCCAAATTCCCATACAAAGTGGGCAGTTTCCTTTATTGTATCGCAAGTGTCTAAAGGCTATGGTGGCCACTTACACATATCCCTTTTAACATAAATAAAATAAAAAAAACTGTGTACGCACAAAGGAACATAGTTCATATATATCTATACATACACATATGTATATGTGCGCCACATCAAAGGATAAAACATATTTAAAGGTCTCCTGAAAGATACCACATTCAACAATGGTCTCTAAGGCACTGTTAAGAAACAAAAGCGTAAGTGACAACTTTCCAGCCAGCCCAACACCTACAAGTTACCGAATATATACTTTTCTATTGGTCTGTAGGGTAAAGTTAACATTGGAATTATACTTTTTAGTATAAAGCTTCTAGTCTGGCACGGGAATTACTACATTCAGTCGATGAACAATCAATCGACTTAAAGTTCTCAGTAAGAAATAAAACAGTCTCGTTGAAAAAAGGAAAGTATATTTCCCTTGAGTTTCTTACTGATTCTTCTTATTTTAAGGTCTTTTGGTGGGCGTAGAGTTGCGAAACATTAACTTGGTGTAGGTTTTTAGTGTTCCATACCTACCCAATGGGTAAAAATGAGACACTTCCACTGTCTGTCTGTCACCAGGTTGTATCTTATACGCCGTACGTGATAGCTAGACAGTTGAAATTTTCACAAATGATGTTTTTCTGTTGTCTTTAAAACAAGATATTCTAAAAACAGAATAATGTAAATACTTAAGGGTGTCTCCCATACAACAAACGTCTTTTTTGCCGTTTTTTGCTCTATCTATATTAATAGCGGCACCAGGTAGACGCTTGAATTTATTAACGGAATACTGAGTTGTATGTTCACTTTAAAAATAAATAATTAAATTAAAATAATATTTAAAAAAAGCAAACGTGATTTATTGTGTGTGTGTGTGTGTTTTTTTATCGATATTATAATAAAGTGTCTAATGCCGAAAGATAATATTACAGAACTTCGTGCGAACTCTTGGCCGGTTTTTGAATTTCCTCTTTTGATTATGATGTTATTAACTATTGGTATTGCCACCGACTTACTGTGGCCACTATTCTTACACGAACAAAGATATTTGGTTACTCATTTCTTTGTCGTACTATTCGTAAGTGAATTTCTTTCCTTGCGCACGTGTTACCGCCTTCCTACAATCTGGGGTCCTTTAGGAGAGGCGGGAAGAAGCATTTTTGCAGGCCTGCAGGATGAGGATGGTTGGAGTGGCAGTTTTTAACTGCTACAGCATCTACCTTCGTGTTTGACCTTTATCACCACTTAACATCAGGTGGGGTAGAGTCATTTGCCTACCTGCCTAAAAAAAAAACAACCTTTTTAAACCTAACACAATTTAGAGTTACCATTATATTGTCCGTAAGTAAGTACTTAAACTCAAGCGCCTGGTTTTCTGATGGAAATCCAGTAAGATGATTTTTTATTTCCAAAATCAACATTATCTCATTTAATTAGATAATGGTGTCGATTCAGGCATGTTTCTCTAAACCTAAATTTAACATCAGTCTCTCCTTTTCAATGTGGGTTTAAGGCAATTGCAAATATTTATTACACCTCAATCATTGTTTTGATAGTCGAATATATCCATAAAGTCACCCATAAATGTAAACGATATCACAGATTCATATAAACACGTACAATATCACCGATAACTGTACAATAAAGACTGTTTACGCCCTTTGTGACCACACAAAAGGGGGAATACGCTTAGAACTTCTCAAATACTTATAGATAAGAATGACGAGTACTGAAAATGTCATTACATTAAGGACCAGAGGTGGGGTGTACTGTCCTGTCTCATCCTTGCGAACCTGCGTTCAGTCTGTCCTCTGAAGTGTAGAGGGATACCCGTGCCGCCATCACCCTCGCAAAAACCCCGCGAATTTCAAACAACCAATAGGAACAGTGTACCACTGTGTAATTAACCAATCACAATTTACGAGTGCAGTGCGTGAGACAGTGTTGTTTTATGAATCGGATTTGAAAAATCGGAATTCGGGTCAACCCTTTTTTCGTGTGTGAGTACTTGTTTTTTTCTGTCTATGTTTTAGATGCGTTGAGTGAATCGATTTAAGAAAAACGGTAGGTATGATTGTACTCTATAATCTTTGCCTTATTTTTTGCTTTTTTTATTTTTGTACATGCAAATGATTCAATGATGTGCAGCCATAATTTTATAGTAAATCGATTTCTTAAGACAGCGAAGGTCGCACTTTACTTGTTGTATGGGAAAATAATAATGAAATGAAATGAAAATGAAAGCCTGTTGAGTCACATGTCGGAGAGGTCAATGTTTTAATTAAGTTTTTAATTAAATTTTCTTATCCGCTAATGAAAACTGTTATGGCTGGTTACAGTTTCATTATCTTAATGTAGTTTGAAATGGAAAAAAATCAAAACTTTGTTTTATAACGATGCAATAAAAAGGTAGTCTATACTCGGATAAAGATAAAGGATATACCCTGCCCTTTCTGACATAACGAGGAATTAGGCTCGCGGAAACCACATGGGATTTGTTGGGTGTAAGGGAGGATTTTCTAGGGAAACTAAAAAAAAATACCTGTTCCGCCCGTAAAATTTATGCATCGTATTTTGGGAACGAAACAAATGTTTCGTTGTTTACGTTCGTAGGTTTATGACTTCATTGAAAACTTTCAATGATTTGTTTTTTCCTACCGTTTTATCAACAATCTACCCGATATAACAGTTTGTTAATTTAATTATATTTAATCTCTCTCTGGTGTCTGAACTTTTGAATTTAAATTGAGTCAGGGTAATTAATTTTCTATAAACAATGAAAAAAAGTTAAAAAGGTTAAACAAAACGAATTAAAAGATTAAAGATAAAACAAACAATGCAAAAGATACCTAGCCAGCAAAGTTACACATTGAAATAATGAGAAGAAAAATAACAAGTATAAAAATAACAAAAGGGTAGATATCTGTTAGAATTACAGAAAAACGAAGTTCCAACTCGAGGAAACTGCTGTGTTGTTCGTTGATTGCCGTGCTACTTTACATTCTTGTGTAATAATTACATATAATGTGTGGTGGATGTGGTTTTATAGTCAGCAACTTCCTAGTACCGAATATTTTAAGCATAAATCATTTAATCATTCATTTAATTAAATTTTATACCTAAGTGGCTATTCGTACTCTCGTCCCTACTTTTCAAGGTAACCACGGAAGACCAGCGTCGGACAGTCTACGACATCCGACACATGCTGAGTGGACTGCCTTTTGGTGACGCAAATTTTTAGACCTAATTTATTGTATTTATGTATACTGAATAAAACATTTTCTTTTTTTCTTTCTTAAGTATGAAAATACCATACATTTTAATTTAATGTGAAATCTTTCTGAAACTTTTCTGTTAATAGGTTAAAGCAAATTACTGCACCCCACTTTTTTTTTTATAAGGAGGTAGGCAAATGACTCTACCCCACCTGATGTTAAGTGGTGATAAAGTCCAAACTGCTACACCAACCATCCTCACCTTGCCGGCCTGCAAAAATGCTTCTTCACGTCTCTCTTAAAGGGGCCCAGATTATTGTAAGGAGGGAACATGTGCGCGGGCAAAGAATTCCACTTACGAACATGTGCGAAAGAATTTTTTATAGATAGGTAATGACGACAAATGACTCTATCCCACCTGATGTTAAGTGAAGGTGAAGTCCAGACGCGAAGATAGCTGATACAGCAGTTCTACCTGCCACACCAGCCATCCCCACCCTGCCGGCCTGTATTATAATTATTAATAGGCCTTTGTACGTTATCGCGCTAATTTTCACCTGTCATCTGAAATCTACTTTATGTTTTTGACTGAAGTTCACTGGAGTAAGGTCCAATCGTAATACGTTGACATCTCATCTAGCTGTCAAAACTTTAGCACGATACGAAATGTCATAAAAAGTTGCGGTTCGATTACGGTTGTGTTTCAGTGGTATAACATTTATTTTGACTCCTGATCAAATATCGTCAGACCGTCAAGCAAGTATCGTTGAGCAAGTATCCCTGAAAGTCAAAAAAGTCAAAAGTCAAAATATCTTTATTCAAATTGGATGCAAAATACAACTCTCTTGAATCGTCCATATTTTTTTGCCCTACCTCCAGTTAAGGACATTTTTTAGCTGTGGAGAAAAACTGGTGAAAAAACTTCGAGTATTATCGTTGATAGCTTCTATCGCTCAGCGACAAACTAGTGGAGCGCGTTCTCGCCGGCAGTGTAAACAGTCAGCGATCAACTATTATTAAAAAAAAAACTCTTGTATACACGGAATGTATATCTATTGTACGTTTCTTGAGCGAGAAAATAGCCGATATTTAGTCGCTTTCTCGCCGGTGGTGGGACAACTGCCTATAAGAAATAATCTTTGAGAGTGATGCCCATAATAAAGATAAATTATAAGAAGAAGATGGTATTATTTTTTCTCTTGGCTCTCAAGAATTCTGGCAAAGTCACTTCACGATTCATGACCCCTTTCAATGTTTCTCACTAAAAGCAATTCTGAGATTGTGAATACAATAGTTTTAAGTAAGAATATTTAAAAAAAATAACAACTATAGTTGAGGAGTAGGTAAAGTTTTAAAAACAAAATCCATTTTTTGATATAAGTAATTTAGTAAGTACATACTCTTTATATTAGTATTTTCTGCTTTCCGATAAAATTATTATACTTTTCAAGAATTAAGATACATTTTCTTTCGAAACTTACCAATCAGGTACTCAAAATATAAAAAAAAGTCAAAGGTTCTTGAACACAGTATTGGATACAAATCAATTCTATTCAACTATTTCCAGAGAAACCTACTTCCACCAAATAGCCGTTACCTGAAACAAACGTTGCAATAGAATACATTACACCTAATTTGAGAGAACCGAATCGAATCGGATGGTAAGGGTCATTGACCGCGAGTTTCTTACATAATTAATGGGCACCTCCTGCAGATAAAGGAAAGGCAGAACAAAAGAAATGTAAGGCTGTGGCTTCGTAGCAGCGTAGTGAGCGTAGACGCGTAGCTTTGCTACGTCGTAGCACAGGAGTCTTCACTACAACTACAAGGAGGCGTCCAATTTTGTTTTTGTATAATTTATTTTTACTAAATTTAGAGAAGTAATGGAAATGTTTATTAAGAAACCTTGAATTTTTTTCTGTATAGTTGTGCTAGTTTTATTGAATATTCTAATGGAGGAAGTCACGGGCGGAGGCTGGTATTTTATAAGAACTTTAAGAGTCACAAATACCTAATATGTTTATTACAAAACGGGGATTAAAAGACGATTGTAATCTGTTTCTGCTTTATAACAAAGGTTAAAGTTTGTATAAACCTTGTACTGTCTTTGTCTTTGTTTTACCACACAGTGTTTGTTACTCAATCACGCAAATAAGGCTCAACAGATTTGGATGAAATTTGGTACACCTTTAGTCTATAACCTGGATTGCTTCATAGTAAACTTTTCATCCCGGAAAAATGTTTTGTTTCCTCTGGGATTCTCAAAAAACTAAAGCTAAGTCGGACGAAGTCGCAGGCGATAGCTAGTAAACAAATAAACGCTACGCTTCAAAAGAGAGCACGACCTCTCCGAAATGCTAATGGTGTTTATTACGAAATCTCTCTAGGACACTTTTGTTTCGTAATTTTGTTGTTTTGTTTTATCGCCAGTCGGCTGTCGGCAGTAAGGGGATTACTGTTGACAGATCGACGACAAATGAATACGTTGTAGGGGGGAGTTCTGGCGCTATTTAGATGTATATTTTACTGTATAATATGTTTGTTTGTTAAAATTTTACGTGTGGTGAATAATCTTACTTAATGTTGTAAATATGAAAGTTTGTAAGTATGTATGTCTGTCACTCAATCAAATATCTAAAAAAAGGAATAAGCCATTTGAACATTCTAAAATCAAATCAAATATCGCGCGCATTCGCGACTTCTTGTTACACACTTCCGTCCCATTTCACGAAATCACTCCCACAAATTGCAGGAAAGCGAGAGGAAAGATGTTACACATCAAAAAATGGTTGCCTGTAAAGTCGGTTTTACGGGCGAAGATTTTACGTGACAACGTCTTTTTCTCGGTAGAATATTTATTGATATGAATATAATTAAATTGCACAATAGGAACAAGGAATTGAATGAAAATAAGAATTGCACAAATTTTAACTATAGAAATATATTTTGTTTACTAAAACATTGTACATGTAAACTTAAACTTAACACGAGAGACTCATCGTAACGTTACCGAGCGTTACACTTTTTCATAAGTGACTCCCAGCCGCAACCTAATTTAAGACGTTGTCACGTCAAAAGGTCCGAATACACAGTATCCACATCACCTCCTAGGGTTCCGTCATCCAAATACCACACGTTGAATTTAGAATTAAAATTTAGACGTGACAACGTCTTAAATTAGGTTGCGGCTGGGAGTCACTTATGAAAAAGTGTAACGCTCGGTAACGTTACGATGAGTCTCTCGTGTTAAGTTTAAGTTTACATGTACAATGTTTTAGTAAACAAAATATATTTCTATAGTTAAAATTTGTGCAATTCTTATTTTCATTCAATTCCTTGTTCCTATTGTGCAATTTAATTATATTCATATCAATAAATATTCTACCGAGAAAAAGACGTTGTCACGTAAAATCTTCGCCCGTAAAACCGACTTTACAGGCAACCATTTTTTTGATTATAATGGATTTATAGTCAAACTAAAAATTGCAGGCCCAAGGGGATCACCCTGTTGACAACCTACTTCCGATGACAGTTCATTAGAATGATATAACAATTATGTTGGGTCAGCGTAACTGAGAAGATAATTTTATATTTCCAGTATATGTTGTTTTATTTCCGCCAGCAAGGTATCCCTATTTACCGAATTGTATGCATTTTTGACATCAATTTTGAGTAAAACGTCAGGCTGCCCGTAAGTTAGGAAAGAGCGTAGGCCATGGACGGCTGCCTCACACCCTCCTTTTACACCGAAGCCTAAATGTACGGGTTCAAATTCCGAATTTAAT